AAAAAAAAGAGTTCCTCCTCTTATCAAGTAAATTTGTTCAGTCTGTCTGTTTTGTGTGTTTTTTTAGGAAGTAAAGATGAACTGGAGCTGATAAACAACGAGACCAGACACAACGCCAACCTGGTCCGAACCAAGTTAAAATGTAGGTGTTACAAAATGGAGTCGAAATTGCTGGAACCCATGGAATATTTGTGTACATTTTTAATATTTCCCTTTGGTCAGTCATTTGAAATAAATGTAGCTTTGCCAAACGGCAAACTTGCTTAAATACTTGGAGTGAAGTCAGAATGGTATAATTTGACTGGCAAATGAATAGGAGAGGAAATAAAGTGCGTCACTGTCCACTACAGCTCATCGTCATTCAATCATTATTAAAAGCTCTCAGAATATTTTTGCTTTGCTATGTAAATTGTGAAGAGAAACCTGCAGCATATGTTAGTTCCTATCTGACGTAGCTTGTAAATACACTGGATCTGTCTTGTGTATTTCAGTAATGCAGAAGAACTGTCCATCAGAAGACAACAGAACTAATAACTCTGTAATCTATCGAATTCAGAGGAATCAGGTTTGTACCCAATACTTTAATTTTTCTCCATTTATTTGTTAAAATCAAGTCATTCCTTCTATTCTGATGTTCTGAGAAACTAGTGCCCTCTCACTAGCTTCTCAGTCTCTTTGAAAAAGAAAATTATCCACAGAATAACACCATTGTTTTCAGTGAGCATGAGGTTCTTTCATACAAAGTCATCCTTTGTTTATTGCCAAACCCACCAGAAGCATTATTTGTTTAAAAAGCTCAAACTTGGTCTCATCTGACCAAAATAAACTGTTGCTTTCAAAGTTCCTGCAGGGATTAGGAAACTCCACGTTTATGTTTGTGATGGTAGAAGAAAAATGGTTAATGAGTTCAGTGCAGCTCAGCAAACATCGGCGTCAAATGGCATTTTTTAATCTTCCACATTTTGTGGAAAAACAAATTGGTCTCTATGCCACAGTAAACAAAATAAAAATACACTATTGATTCTTTTTTTTGTGAGATTATGCTGCAACAATAATGTCACTGTGTAATTTCATAAAAAAGAGAAATGAGCAAATATAAACCTTTTATCATACCAGTTTGTGATTGTAATTGCATATGGCCTGCTTTGTGTCATAGGCTGTCACTGTACTAGTCATTGCATTGCAAATTTTAACCTTGGCTTCCAAATAAATAATTTTGCCAACTCCCTTCTGCCAGCACTCACACCTGACTCGTTGGTTTTCTGAAGTCATGAAGAGTTACCATAAGATCCAGATTTCCTTCAGAGAGAAATGCAAGGCCCAAATTCAGAGACAGCTCGAGATTGGTGAGTCACTATTGCAATAATAATTGCTTTTTATTTCCAGTTTCAATGCTTTTCTTTGACAACAAACTGAAATCAAAGTCAAATCTCTTCTTTGCGTTCAGAAACTTAGCCAATAAAGCAGATTCTGGTCTTATTCTTTACCATTTCTAGTCTGATTGTTTTATTTAGCATGTAAATAAGATGACTTGCATTTACTCAATTTCCTGCCAAGATTGTTTTGAGCATTGTTATCGTATGCATCACTAGGCTGGAAAAGGTTGATGTATTAAACCACATTCCAATAGAGTATTTGTGTATCTTTTTACCAGTTTGTTCATTGGGATAACTTTGAAGCAGTGTTATGTGTACAGGTATGTTTTAGAATAGTATTTTGCCTTATTTGTGACATTCTACAGTAAACTTCCAGTAGTGCATATCATTTTTCAGTTCTTTTACTGCAGTGATTCTGTTGCTTTGATTTTGTAATTTCAAAATGAAATAAAAAGATTCTAAGTGCCAACTTCTCATTTGTTTCTCATAGTGGATAAAGTCACAACAGATGACGAGCTGGAGGATATGCTGCAACGTGATAATCTTGCCATTTTCATAACTAATGTGGGTGAAATTCCAGATCTATTTCCAATAGAATGTTGTAGTATTTGAATAAAAAAATATAAATAATGTCCCTTTTTTCCCTCCAACAAAGATCCATTCTGATGCTCAATTATCAAGTCGGGCTCTCTCTGAGATTGAAAGACGTCATCAGAACATCATCAGCCTTGAGTACAGCATTAAAGAACTACATGAGATAATTACAGACACGGCCATGCTGTTGGAAATTCAGGTAAAATGGCTGCCCCAAAAATAAATGTTTATTGAGGACGGATTTAAATATAACTGATGAAATGACTAACATTGTGTCTTTTTTTTTTTTAATTTCCACTAGGGGGAGTTGATAAACAATATAGAAAGGAACGTCACCAGTGCCGGAGAATATGTACATGCAGGAAAAGAAGAAACACAGGAAGCACTCGGATACAAGAAGAATCGTTATAAGGTTGTGTCTCTCCCAAGTTTTTTCAAATCCTTTAGGAGACAAGCCAGTACTGAAGCTGATGATTAAAACTCTACTGAAGACTGCATCAAGCCTTCCTGATGCACATCAAACCTGTCAGAGCCTTGGAGAATTAGTTGTATCCATTTTTTTCCCCATGTAAAACTCTTTAACTGTTTTTTGTAGAACTGTAGTTTTTTTACCCAGAGTTGAGAATTCAAAGTTATGTAAAAATAACTTGTCACTTTAAATGCTTAAAAAATATTTCTTTGTCAAGAATATGATTTCAGATATGGTCCATTTCATTACATTACTTTTTATCTGTTCAACCACCCATAGATTCATTTACTCACTTGATCACTAGGTGGCACTGCAACAACATTGAAATACCAGGCTGTACCTTGTCTAAGGTTTCTTCTTATGACATTGTAAAAATGTCAACTTGTGCTCATAATGAATGCTGTGAAACAGAAGATTTTAAACTTCCTGGTCTCCTGCTGTGATCAATTAACATAAAGTGGTTTAAGTGAAATGTAAGAAATCTGCACAGTATAAAAATTGCTGTAGCAGTTGCAGTCAACTTGTAAATTAGAAATGTAGTGATCAGAGTTTTATTGGCTTATGTCTTGTTTTGCCTTTTTGTAGGTCTGATCTGCTGATTGTAAAATATTTTGTTTTTAAATTAACAATGACATGTAAATAAACTGCTTGGAAGTACAAGGAACCAAAGCTGGCATAATCAACAAAACAGGTAAATAAGTGGCTTAATAAAATAATGACAATGGAAGCAAATGGAACAAAAGTGATTGGATTAAATATTTTTGATCTATAAAAAGTCATGCAAATGTATATTTTGACATCTGATGCAATACTAGTTACTGATGTAGCTGTTTTACCTACTTAATATACCCATTAGGCTTATTATCTTCAAGTTCCTGTTATTTAAACATCATTTATCCATATTGCTGCTTCACTTTTTTCTTTTTTTGTTTTGTTGTTTAATGCAGAAACTGGAGAGGTAATGTTCACTTATGATGTATTTAATAAACAAGAAAAAAACATCTGATTTTTTTTAGTGTGGCTTCCAGTTTCTAATCACAGGCTGCTCAGTTGGTAAATCACCTAGGAACTGGATGGCATGAAAAAAGTGTCTCCAAACAGTGTATGCATCGTGTACCTGGAGTCACTTCAGTAAACACACTTTGATATTGTGACCTTTGTGAAAGTGCAGTCTCAGATAGCATTGGATTTAATTTGATGCTCCACTGGGAATAAAGTGGGACTAGTGTGGCTGTAAATGCATCTTTTTATGGTTGAAATTATTTTACTCATGCCTTAAGGTAAATGAACTGTTAACGCTGTAACACTTCTAATAGTCCACATTAAGTACCACATGGTCTTTAATGCTTATTAACAAATATAAAAAGTGAGAATTTACATCAAGGCTTCACTTGACTTTTATCCTCACGACTGATTCTTATTTGTGATGTTGTAGGACAATCGCATTAGGCATAGAATACTTATAGGTTAATAATTGAATGACATTTGTGTAATTTGCTGCTGCACTTGCTAAATCTGCAGGCTATTGGAGTGATAACAGGAGTGATGCCATATCTATGTTTAATGCATTATTTCCCACATGATCCATATGTCTTAAAAGCTATTGACTGGCTGTTACTTGTGTGATTTGTAGTTACTTAAAACCATTTTGTTATCGCATTTTTCTCTGATCTGATTAGAGTTGAAAACAAACAAGCCTGCATTGTGGGAATACTGCCAAGATGAACCCATTGACTTTTCTCTCAGACTGCATTTCACATCCAACCCCTCCCCCCCATCCGCTTGTGCTACCTCAGGATAAAATTTCACAGCACCTTTGTGCTTTGCTGAAACCACTGACTTCCAAATTGCTATGGAAAAGTGTGGGTGTATAGAAAAAAAAGATGACCGCGTATGTGGGGAGAAAAAAAGGAAAAGATGTGAGGATAAGAAAAAGGCAGACGTACAAACATGACTTATTTATTGGATGTGCCAGAGTGGTGAACCCAAAAAATAGAGCTTGACCACAATTTAAAAGGGCTGAGTGATGTGTGGCTGTGTAAAATGTGGGGGCCTGGCCCTCCTCCCAAAGAACCATTAACCATTTCCCCAATCTGGAATGAAATATGAGGAACATCTGGAAGAATTAGGGGATGAAAAGTCTCATTTTCTGCTTCCTCATGGAACCTCCATGGCCGGCTTACTTCTTGGCTTTTCCCTGGGCAGCCACAGCCTCCATGGCCTTCTTCACGGTTTCCTCATCACCGAGGAAAGACATGGGCTTGACCGGCTTCAGATCTGCATCCAGTTCGTATACGATTGGGATTCCTGTTGGCAGGTTCAGTTCCATGATGGCTGCATCAGACATATCTAGAAAAGACAACATAAACAAACCCTGAAATCAGAAGTAGGAGTATTTGAACTGGATAACAGTACTAATTGTCATTGTTCCCGACAAATTGCCCCCAGCTTTATGTTGGTTAAATGTGCACAGGAAGTCTGAAGCAGACCAATTAAACTGTATAGCACAGCCTTTGCACGTCACACTGACTTTTATGTTATGACAGACTGTTTAAATTAAAATGTATGTTTCGCACATAGTGAAAATAAAAAATACTTTACAAAAATACATTAAAATATTAGATGTTTCTTGTGAATAAAATAAGTATTTTATTAATGGCACATTCAAATGATCTGTGCTATTTTTAATGAATTAGTGACAAATTTAAGTAATTAACTATTCAGTTTTTTCACATTTATTCTGTTTTAAATTAATTACATGTTTTTATATACATATAAAAATAATCTGCCTTTCTTATTGTTTGCCTGACACTTCTTCTGTTATTCCCAGAGAATGCTAAACTCCCCTATTCATCCCTGACCACTGCTTAAAAATGTACAACCTTTCGACATAAAGGTCGTGACTGTAATGGGAACCAGACTCATGACCCTCTACCCTGCACTCCAGTGCAAGAGTCTTTGCAGGCTATTTATAAGCAGTGGAATCAAAAGCTTAGTATCTCAAGGCCTTTTCTTCTATGCAGATCTATTCATAGTTGTGTTGTTCTCTGGAATTAAATATCTGGAAACTATTTAAGAGTTTTAGATTTTAAAAACAAAAGGACTGTGCCCGCTTGCTGACTGCGAAACTCACCCTCCAGGTGCTTGACTATGCCACGGAGGCTGTTGCCGTGGGCAGCGATGATAACATTCTTCCCTGCTTTGATTTGTGGAGCAATAACCTCGTTCCAGAATGGCAAGGCACGTGCAATGGTGTCCTTCAGAGACTCGCATGTAGGCAGTTCACCAGGCTTCAGTTCTTTGTAACGCCGGGACTGGAATTAACCAAAACAGAAGCAGACTGTTGCACTTGTAAGGAGCTATATGATGGTTAAGTTTAGGCGTCTCACCTCACTGATGATTTTGTGGTAAGGGTGATCCTTATCCATAGGTGGAGGTGGGATGTCAAAAGATCGACGCCAGATCTTCACCTGCTCCTCGCCGTGCTTCTCGGCGGTCTCTGCCTTGTTCAGACCAGTGAGGCCTCCGTAGTGGCGCTCGTTCAGGCGCCAGGTGCGAATCACGGGCAGCCACATCTGGTCAGTGACCTCCATTATGGTCCACAGGGTCTGGATAGCGCGTTTCAGCACTGAGGTGTAGCACACGTCAAACTTCATGCCTGCCTCCTTAATGGCCTGGGCTCCACGCTTGGCCTCCTCCACACCCTTCTCACTGAGGTCGGCGTCAAACCATCCGCAGAAGCGGTTCTCCTGGTTCCAGGCACTCTCTCCATGGCGGACAATAACTAAGCGGTGGACAGCAGTCATATTTAATAGTTTTCCTTGGATTTTTAGCTCTAAACTAGACACAGAGCCCTCAGCCGTTCTAAGTTGCTCTTTCACACACTTACTGGCTGCCCAACAGTGATCCCAGACAACATACCGAACTCTTTTTATAGCGGACCAGCCCCCCAGCATTCCACCTGTGAGGGCATTTCACCCTCTGATGGACACACAAAGCAGGCCAATAAACCAGACAGCAACTGGGCTTATGGGAAGGCCAGAGGTCAGGGATAAACCAAAATAGCAACATGACTTTTAAAATGAGATCTGTGCAACAAAAGTGTAAAGAGCAGAGTTGGTGGCACATAGCTTCCTCATCCTAAAATGAATTGCTACAAAGCTGACAATAAAACTACTGTGAATGATTCATAGTGACTTTTACATTTCCAATCCATTTGTTTGAAAACCTTTGACCTTTTATCAATCCATACATGCATCATCCACCTGTCTTTCCATTTGTCCGCCATCTATCCATTCTGCATTCATTCATCATCGACTTGCCATGCATACATTCATTTTTTGTTTGTCATTCATCCATTTATCCATCTGTCCTTTTTCTAATATTCACCCTTCTTGATTCTTTGGTCATCATCATGTGTCCATTCATCCCTATATCTGCCCATTTGTCCATCATTCAGTTTTCATTTATCCATCCAGGTTCCACTGTCCACTTTTTTTTATCCATACATGGTACTTTTAAATCCATTGCATTTTGAAATTTATTCTTTTATATTTTTATACCATATAAGCATTAAAACTTATGATTTTCTCTCCAAGGACTAAGCAACTATCTACTACAACTTAATCCATTCATTCATCTGTAGTCCATTTGTCAATAAAGGAAATATGCAGAAATCATTATTTATAGGCTTAAAACTGTGAATGTGAAATTTTGTACAAATTCTGAGTTGTTTCAAAATCTCTAGTTTTCCAACATAAATCCATGAAATTCTTGACAAATATTTAGTCTGATTTTAATGTTGTGTCTTATTATGACCTCTAGGGGTTGATCTTGTAAAGAATAAGCAAGTGATGTTTTTTATCGGTATTATTCCTTCTTTTTTAACTTTTAGAAAAAATGAATTGCACAAAATAGTATCAGGTTTAATCAAAAAAAGTGAAAGAAAAAGAACACTTTCATTCTTTTATATAAGAAAAGTCAAACATTTGCTTTACTCTTCTATGTTCTTGTGTTGTATTGAACAAATGCAAGTGTATACAGTATTCTACAAGAACAAGTCTCAGAAGCTAAATATTCTGCATCATATAGGAAATGTAATGCCAGGAAGGAGCAATGAGAAACTCCCAGAACGGACATAATGGAGCTGGCTTGGAAACTGAACCACAAAATCCAAAAGCTGAAATATGAAGCAAAGTGTTCTGTCATCCTCCTGTGAAATTATGATACACTAGAAAGGCAGAGGTCCAAAAAAAGAATATGGAATTCTAGGATTAATGCCAACCTGCATCATGTGACCTTGAGTTGTACTGTATATAAAAAAAACTGCATTGTAAGGGAAAAAAAACTCATTTGCCTTAAATTTCTCTGGTTATATTTTTTTAACAACCATATTAAATTTCAGTAGTATTGGGAAACTGGTGACCACATTCACCCGTTTGCTAGTTACACTTTTTGTTTCAAGTTGGTATAAAACAATGTAGCCTTTTTCATGTTTTTGTTAACTATCAGTGTTTGTTAATACCTGACATTCAGTACTCATCATCTCTCTTGACCTAACAAGCCACAAGTTTGTCATTACGCCTCTAAGCATTTTCATTTGGTTGAAGGGGCGACTTAATGATCTGCTGCCTCGGTTGTGTCGCCCAGAGTTCTGTAAGCATCTTGTCTGCAACAAATCGCCTCGGTGCAGATTGCGAAGCTGCTGGTAGAGATGGAAAAAGTGGACACAAGGGAGTTTGCGTGATCACAACTGTTCCGATGACTCAGCCTGCGGAGTCACACAGCTTTCACTGTATATAGGAGCTCCGAACTGCCTTTGAGGGCTCTACTGGCCTCTGGTGCAAGGAAAAATTACACAAACAGCATTGGTTACAGATCAAAGCACGGTCAAATCCCACACACCGCACTCACATTCAAACTCTGTTCAGTGATATTGATGCAAAGCACTGCAATGAACAGCAAAGATGTATGATGCTGACTGGGTGAGATGAGTCTTCATGTGCA